ATTTATTTTGATTGGTTTTGATTTAGATGTTGCTAAGCAATAAAACTGTTCCAAACCAGATGTTAAGTGGACTTTCCAGGACGTGCACTCTCCTGGATACAGGCCGATGAGTTCTCTCATTCAACTTAGGTCTAGTGGGACTCTTGCCCTCTCAAGTTGGCATGTTGACAGCAACTACAATGGCTAGCCAGCCTGCATCATGAAGAAAACGTTAACTGTTTGGTTGAGGTTTGGCTTTGTTTTGGGGTTTTGCTAATGTGCTGAGTGAGGCTGTGCAATTGCCTTCAATCAAGTGGTGTTCCCCAAGCTCAGTCAGACTGGCGAGGGTGTTCACTTCCATGAAAATACCCTGCATTTCATATGCTCTACTTGCTGCATTTTCCAATGATAAAACCAGTTGTAGTGTCTGTTTGAAGTCCAGTTGGGCTTCAGTTAGTAGATGTTTTTGCATGGTTACATCATTAATCCCACATATCAAATGGTCTTTCAGCATCTCAGTAAGGGTTAAAACAAACTCTACCAGTTGTCTTAACCTAGTCAAACATCTTGATGCGGATTCTCCTCATTATCAAATTGCCGAGTAAAACTGATAGCATTTCAGAATTAGTGGAGTCTTGAGATCGCATTATTCCTTAACTAAATCCATCAAATCATGAAAAGTTTTAATATCTGGTGCCTCAGGGAAAGTTAGAGTCCTAATTACCAAAAAAAGCTGTAGGTTCACATGCTATTAGGATAATTACTCGTTGCTTTTCATCCGTCCCAATGTCATTTGCCCAGAAAACATAACACATTTTTTCCAGAAACTGGACCCAGTCTTCTCTGACAAAAAGGTGCAGGGCTGGATGAACACAGCAGGCCAAGCAGCATCATAGGAGCAGAAAGGCTGACGTTTCGGGCCTAGACCCTTCATCAGAAAAGGGGGAGGGGAAGGGGGTTCTGATATAAATAGGGAGAGAGTGGGAGGCGGATAGAAGATGGCTAGAGGAGAGGATAGGTGGAGAGGAAACAAACAGGTCGAAGAGGCGGGCATGGGGCCAGTAAAGGTGAGTGTAGGTGGGGAGTTAGGGAGGGGATAGGTCAGTCCAGGGAGGATGGACAGGTCAAGAGGGCGGGACGAGGTTAGTCGGTAGGAGATGGGGGTGCGGCTTGAGGTGGGAGGAGGGGACGAGCTGGACTGGTTTTGGCCTGGACGAGTTGGGCCGAAGGGCCTGTTTCTTTGTGTAATGCCTCTATGACCAAGTCACCCTTTATTTACACATGGAAAGTCTGATCCAGCTCTTAGAGTGAACAGGATGTCTGACAGTCCTGTTCATATCTAAGCCAGGGCTCCCTGATTGGACCAGATTAACAGCCCCAATCAGGGAACTCATAATCTATGAGGTCCACCTGGCTAACATCATTACAACCATTGCATCTAGGAAAATCAGCTTTATTGGTGAAGGTACCTTTAAGGACGTGTGCTTCGAATAATAAGGCTTGAAGTCCAGTAAGCTATCTGTATTTGAAGCTTTCCTTTTTCAGGGACAGTGTCTAATTCATGTGGCACTCGGAAAACACAGACAGACAAACTTTATTGATGTCAGATTGCACAATTTCCTGGAAGTACGCTAATTTCTTAGCAATGCTGTCAGCAAACTCTCTTCTCTGTGTTGTTTTTTTTAAATAGACAACATCGGCAGTGCTTTTTTGTAAAGCACGCCCTTTTGAACGAGCTGATCCTTACCCTATCTTATTACCCGCCCAGTCTTCTCCACAGAATATTTTTATTGTTACATCTACTGGTGGTTCTTTCTAGACTTTCCAAATGGTGTTTCCCCCCACCCACAGAAAAGGAAGACACTAAATAAAGAATAATGCTGAAGGTTGTTTTTAAACTAAATGTTTTAGCAACTTTCCACTTCACCCGTTCCCATTTCTCATTTGTCATATTTGCCTTCCGACATTTTTGTGCAGAATGACTGAACTTCTGACCTGCTCAAAAGTAAAAACAAGGTAAATCTAATTGAGGCTCTTAACTGGCCGACAACTGGTCATTTGTAAGTGGGCTCCTGACAATTGTTTCTCCTGGAGGGACAGGACAGTAGTCTGATTGCTCTTTGTCAGTTTGTTTGAGGTTCAGGGATCTTGATTGCCTAGTTGTCTGTTCAAGGCCATGTACATAGGGCAGGAGTTGACTACCAAGATCGACCCTGTTCCTTGCTTCTGACCTCTGTGCCCATCAACCTCTTTCCCCCAAATTGCATAGACCACCCATCTTTGGCCTGGAACCTTGGTATCCGATATTGTGGTGCTGGCAGCAGCTGCAGCTTCTACACAGCATTGCCAGTCTGAGCCATTTGGAAAGACCTCTGTCTTTGGGTACCTGATTTGAGACAAAAGCTCACTGGTGGCCTCAAAACTACCTGTTGGCAAAAGATTGAGTGGGCTTTCATCCTAAATGCCAACATAGGTGTTTTGACATTTTTTTTTCCAGGGAGCGAGTGAGATACCCACCAAACTCCAGATTTCTCTCCTTGATTCAGTTAAGCATACGGTTACACATTATGCAGCTTAAGAATAAAAGATGAAGGGCAAAAGTAGGAGAATGAAGCTAAAAGAAGTGAAATAAATCAAATGTGATTAACATAGTCCAGAAAGGAACACAAAATTGGATAAATAAAAACGGAGAAATAAAAACAAAGGAATAAAAGCAAACCTAGACACTTTTCCAGATCTTCATTCAAACTGGGGGATAAATTGCAAACAGGCAGTTATGTTAATTTGGTAGTTAGACTCTGAATGCATGCATTCACCCTGTGACTTTGCAGTGTGGGAACCCCACTTCCTGTTGTGTCGGAAATAGAATAAAGCTGTTGTTCTTCTATTACAGGGCAAATTCTGCTTTCAAAACATGTGACAGTTCCTTCATAAAATTTATAAATTACACTGCAAGATAATTTCTTCTTTTTAAACTTGGGCTGGACCTAACTTGGACTTAGGATGTGTTGGAAGAGTTTGATATTTCAATTAAGCCACTGAGAAAACAAAAATCCTCATGTTGTTTTTCTACATCTGGCTGTCAAATCTTTGTAATGTTGAGAAACACAGCTATAAATTAAAAATTACACTTCAATTTATTTGATTAAAATATGACATAGAACACTTGAATGATTAATGATCCATACTTTTCCCTTGTCCTATTTATAATGTATAATTCTGAATTACAGGTGTGTGCACAAACCATTACTTCGGCATGAACAAAAGTTCATTTTTGCTGCCAATACAATCCAGTGTTCAACAGTGAAATGAGGAAATAGCTGTCATGTAATTACTGTTGGCACAAAAATCTTCATGTGGTAAGACACACACATCCATAGGATACAGCCTTTTCAAGTCCCAACAAGCCTCTCTTTGTCATGAGTTTGCTTCAGTTGATCTGTTTTTCCTCAGTTTCTGGCCAAGTCAAATAATGAGATCATTCACTTCAGAAATGTTCTGTAATAACAGCACCCAATCCAAACAAGCTCAGTAGCTTGGCTACATTCAAAAGTTTCAGTTTTTGAATGCTTAGCCTTGTGTAGTCTGCTGTTCTAGAAAATTCTGGTGCAGGTGGTAGGCCCTTTAAGAGCCATGCTACACGCTGGGCTTGGTTGGCAGCCATCGTTGTTAACTGGTGGAGTCCTGATTCGTAATCTGGAACCAAGTGTGACTGGGAGATGAGGTTTAAAAGATGCTTCTGGAGTAGATTGGCAAACATAATCTTTTCTGCCCAAAGGTTAAATTCGCCTTTATCAAAAAGCAGGTCATAATTTTCCTAAAAATAAAGGAAATATATTGAGTCAACAAGGGAAACATAATTTTAAGATTTGCCACTTGAAACTAAATCCATAACACATTTTTATTGTTAATTGTCATTTGTCACTGGCAATTTAGTGTCCATCCCTAAATATCCTTGGATGGTGAACCACTTTTTTCAATCAATGAAATCAGTGGGCGAAGGTACTCCCACAGTGCGTTAGGTAGGGAGTTCCAAGATTCTGAATGAATGCTGATGATAAATCCTTATGATACTGATGATAAATCAATTCTGATAAGCCTTGTACGAGTTCTAATTTTATAAAGTGTAACAAAAGTTTATATTTTTCAAAAAAAAGGAACTGAGCAGGCAGTATTGCGTTGTTAATGTATCAACTCTGCCACTACAGTTAGAAATACCCTGCAACAATGTACAGTTTTAAAAAAAATGCAGTGTTGTTTATGCTTACAGTAGGCCTGGGTTCCAAGAATTAAACAGCAGAGGGTAGTGACAATTCTGCATTCCCAGATTCTCTAGGGATTATACAATGATGAGTGAGCCCAAATGCTGAGCATGCCCTTATACTTGACAGCACAGGAAGGCAATTTCAATAGTCATTATTAGTTTATAAACAAATGAATAGGAGCCTACTGGTATAGAAGTTGGGACCTTGTGTTGTGGCTGTACAGTACATTGGTGAGGCCAATTTTAGAATACTGCGTTCAATTCTGATCTCCCTAGTATAGGAAAGATATAGTTAAACTTGAAAGCGTTCAGAAAAGATTTACAAGGGATTGGAGATTACTGGGATTGGAGGGTTTGAGCTATAGGGAGAGGCTGAATAGATGGGGGCCATTTTCCCTGGAGCGTCAGAGGCTGAAGGCTGACCTTATAGAGGTTTATAAAATCATGAGGGGCACAGCTAGGGTGAATAGCTGAGGTCTTTGCCCCCACGGTACGGGAGTCCAAAACCAGAAGACATAGATTTAAGGTGAGAGGGGAAATATTTAAAAGGGGCCTGAGGGGCAACTTTTTCACGCAGAGCATGGTATGCGTATAGAACGAGCTGCTAGAGGAGGTGATGGAGGCAGGTACAATTACAACGTTTAAAAGACACCTGGATGGGTACGTGAATAGGAAGGATTTAGAGGGATATGAACCAAATGCTGGCAAATGGGACGAGATCAGTTTAGGATGTCTGGTCAGGGCGGACAAGTTGGACTGAAGGGTCTGTTTCCTTGCTGTACATCTCTATGACTCTATGGTCCTGAATTTCTTGCAAACGTAGTCAGTCGAATGTTACTACTTGTACTTAAGCTCTTCTTTCAAATATTTATAGCACACAGACACACACAGCACAGGTGAGATTAAATTTGTGTCAAGATGGACTGCAGAAGATTAAAATAAAATATAAATAAAATAAACATTTTTTAAAAAAGTTCATTTCTCTTCAGCAAACAGAAAAGATAAACAAGCTAAATTTAAAGACACTGGGCCTGGGTTAAAAGGTTCATGACAGACTTGCTCAGGAGAAAAACAGCTGCCTTGTTGACATTTGATAGCCAGCTGGGCAGTTAAAAGGGTTGAGCCCTCGATTCTGCCCCTCTGGGACAGAAAGTCATTCCAATTAGAGCTGCTGATCAATCAGATAGCCAGCAGCTCTGTAGCTGGACACCGAGGTAAAAAGCTGTGAGGGTGTGTGTATGCGCACCAGGGAGGCTAAACAATGCGTGATCTTGGATGAGGGGTGATCTCACAGTAGGGTGGCCTCTGATGGGCACAGAGGATCAGGAAAAGAAGTTACCACCTCCTCACCCTTGCCCAAAACCTACCCATGCATAGTAGGGGCTTCCCTCTGCTGTGGGTAAAATCATTGACCACCTAAGTGCCTTAATAAACCCAAGGGTAGGTGGGTGGGTTGTCCTGGCCTCTACCTCCCCATGTAAAGTTCTGTACAGGTCAGGGGAGGAGAGGAAAGGCAATGGGAAGGTCATGCGTTGGAGGCAGGTCGGAGGAAGGGTAAGCAAACCTCTTTGAAACCGGACTGGCCAGCAAAATATTTTACAGAAGCTGCCCTCCTAAGTTATAAATAATGCTTTATTTCTAAGTTCTGCAGGCTAGTCTCTTGGAACATGGGGAAAGATCAACTTGAAGGAGACAATTTTCCCCTATTGGGCTTCAGCTTTTGTCTGCACACAAGCAGTGAACTGTGGACACTAATTTAGAAAGGTGGTGGATCCTGTGGAGTCAGAACAGTAGAAAATTTGGTTGCTATCATTGAGATTACAACTTACAGATACGTCACGGAAGCAGTGATGAATTGAGTTGGACATGGGGTAAGCATAGGCAGGCATCTGAAGCCAGAAGGAGCTAACTGTCAGTGGCCTCCAACAGACAGGCCCAGATCCATGAACTAAGTGCCTTTATTGCACTGCTTCTGAACCAGAAAGGCTTAGATTACTTTCTCTGCTTCAATTTTGTCTAGCAGACTTTTAACCATCCCTCCCCACCAAACACAGCAAGTTTTGTTTCTCCACCATACTCCCACCCACCTTCTATATCTGGTTACCATTCTCAACTCTACACCATGCCGAATCTACCTGTATTTTGTTTCCCGCTGCTCTTTATTTCCACAATCATTCCTTAAAGCTACGTGGTGGCTGGACCAAAAATAACTGTTGAGACAATTTAAGTCAGGCCCTGTAGTTCAGGAGACGTCACAGGCAACTCTTACTTCCAATATTTTCATCTGCAAACCTGGCCCTCCCTTCTGTTTGTAGTTTTGAGTTATTATTTAGTCCACTACATTTTGTCAATATGGATCTAAGCCAGTTAGATATAAAGTCAAAAAACCTTTCCTCTGTGCACAGAGTTTAGTGACTACTCTCTCTTACAGCTCCCCTCCATGCTCAGTGTCACAGGTGCTCCCTTCCACCCCCCCTGAAAATGTGTAAAAACAGACACTGGGTTCCGCAGAATTGGGCTCAGGTGCAATATTTCCTAAGTCCCTCCAGTGTCCACATTTCCTTGTTCTTATAAAACAACAAACAGCTAGTTGGCTAAAGTGGGTTGTGACTGGTTACCACAGATCCCATCACAGATGTGTCAGACCTTTTCTAGAATGTAGTAAAAAAGAAACAAAACAAAAATGAATGTGTGTGTGGGTGTGGATGGTGGAAGAAGAGATTTACATGTTTGGTAATCTTTTGTAAAGACTTATGTTCCTTATAAACATACCACATTTTCATTTGTTGCATCTCCTTCCATATCATCTTCTCCCAGCATCCATTCCATTAGGGTTACAATTCCGACGGAAGTTTTATTCCAGATCTGTAGTAGTTCACACAGCACACCGAGGCCAAGATCCATAGCCCGGGATGGATTCACGGCAGAAAATGAAATATCTGCATGGTGGGTTAAGGAGGAATAAAATTATGAAAATAAACTTAACTGCAAAACTTGTACTGATGTCTGATTATGAAATTTTTTTGATTCATTCATGGAATGTGGATGTCACTGGCCAGGCCAGTGCTTATTGGCCATCCCTAACTGCCCAGATGAGAGTCAACCACATTGCTTATATAGGTTTGGAGTCACATGTAGGCCAGACCGGGTAAGGATGGCAGATTTCCCTCCCTAAAGGACATTAGTGAACTATGTGTTGGGTTTCCTTACAATCGGCAACGGTTTCATGGTCATTATTAGACCCTTAATCTCAGACTTTTACGGAATTCAAATTCTAACATACAAAAGCGGCACTAATATGGACTGATCTCAGACTCCAGCATCGGCAGTTCCTACTATCACTGATATGGACTCGTTTTATGGAAAATTTCAATGACAGAAAGGTGGCATAATAAATTAGTAAGATAAATAGATTCACATTATTTGTACTTGATTAAGAACACACATTAAGAATTCAATGTTCAGTCCTAATCACCACCACTCCTATGTGCTGACTTGTAAAATGGTACAAAAAGTTCTAACAACTGACATAATAGACAGCACAAGCAGAGAAATGTAACACCAAGGAGAAGCTTCTTTACTGCACTAACACCAAATGGCAGGAATTCTATGTAAAAGGACATTGCTTTACCGCAGTTAAGATAAAATTAAGCCAGGAAACATGTTTTTACGGTTTTGCATTATTTGAGTGGCAGAAACACAATATCTTGATAGCTCAATTTCAACACAGAACTTAGTGTTGTTTTTCTAGTGGGGGAGGAAGGAAATGTGTAAAACCAAACTTATCCAAACTTGATCCCCTTAGTATCCAAAAATCTATCAATCTTTGGCTCAAACATGGCATGACAGAGTATCCGTAGCTCTCTGGCGCAGGGAATTCCAAATGTTAGCAACCCTATAACTGAAGAAAATTCTCCTCAGCTTAGACCTAGTCAACTTCTTGTCCTGAATCTGCACCCTGCACCCCGCCCGTGCCCGCACCCACCACCCGCCGCCCGCCCCCGCCCACACCCCCTGCCGCCCCCCCCGGCTAGTTGTAAGTTCTCCACCTATATCCTGTCAAGGCTTCTAAGAATGCTATATATTTCAATAACTTTTACCAAGTAGTGAGCTTTTCTTTCCAAGTTAGTAGTCAGTAGAAGATACTTAAGGAGATAAAAGATACTTAACAACATAATGAGCCTGGAAATGGTAGTGACAAATCCAATTGATTCAATTGATACTTTTTTTTAAAATGGCTGTGCTGAATGAGACACTTTGTACTGCAGTATGAACACATCAATGATATGATGCAGGTTCTCACCAGCAGTTTCTTCCCCAATGCTGAGTTCTTGATTTATGTGTGTTACCAGAAAATACTGAGCAGAGATCAGATGCTTCTTCATGGAATAAACAGTCACCCTAAAGGTGTTGTGCTCCTACAAATGCCACAGGAAGTCTAAAATATTATTCTTCAAGACAACACTTGCATTTTATGTAGCATGTGACATGCAACAACTGTAGAAGGAAGGATATATAAATTGCTCAAACAAACCAAAGGTTTTCAGTCCATTAGACACTGCTTCTATCTTACATAGCATAACGCAGTGGAGCTGCCGTTATTCCTTTAGCTATTTGTTAAATAACAACTTTACTTGTTGTTACTTTAGTAAGCAGAGGAAAAAATGCACCCACACATTTCCCTTTTGTCAATATCAATAACTATTTCAAAGTATAAACTGGGCTTTTCATCTTTTTCATCCATTGTCTGTTTGTTTTAAAACAAATATAAATAAAGAAAGAAAACATATCCCCAAACGAAGAACAAAAATTAAATCAAATCTAGTTTATATTGCAGTTACTGGAATTCAACATGGGTGAAGTTTAAATGGTTTTATTAGAATTCCTGTACTTGGGTTTCCCCACAAGCTCTATAGATAAACACACAATACTGCACCACAGTGAAACTGTGTTTCACAGTTAAGAAGGAAAACACCCAGTTGTAGGTGGAACACATTTTTTCAACAATAAAAGCTCACTGTGAATTAGAAGCACATAGTAGTACAGTTAGTAAACATAACACAATAATGGGTAATTGAATTTAAATGTTAACTTGGGAGAAAATGAACTACTAGCATATACAACATGTGTACACTAACGCTAATGCTTTATAAGCACAATTCTTGTAGACCTTAACCCTAACCCTAACCCTGTTGCATTTCAAAAATTTGATTGAACGGAATTAATGATGGACTGTATCCGAAGTAAGGAAAAATGCACATTGAAGATAATTCCATGTGATATTTAAAAAAACTTGGGTCTTTGGGATATTTTGGTCACACTATTTTGTAAACTGAACAGGTATAGTTATGGTGATTTCTTATTTTACTAATCTTTGTTTCATGCAGCAATGTATCCAATCCTGAGAAGTTCAATCTTACTGCTTGGTATTGACTTGACATGTCACAGAATGATGGGATTGAAGGAGTTGCCTAGATCTTCCCAGAGTAATGGTGGGAACACACATGTATTACTAATGGAAATCTGCACAGGGAGAATTTCCATTTGGCTTTCAGGCATCAGTTGGGCATTGTCAAATCAACATTAGTTTATTGTCCCAGCTTGACTTTAATGAAGTCTGCTTCACTTACCTAATATGAGAAAGCTTCCAATCCATATCGAACCTATGGTTGGAAATTCTCTGAAAGGAACTGGGAAATGAAATGCATTGGATAAATTTAAAGCAATAAGACTATGTCTCCTTC